GGCAAACAGAGGGACCTGGCATATCTAAAATATATAATAAAAAAGAAATCATGCTGGGTATAGTATCCGGCCAGACGTGGCACATCATACTTTCTTAGTTTTATGATACATCCAGTCAATACTAAACATTAATTCAAATTCTGCTCCTTGAGAGTAAGACCTTTATAATCGGAGGATCTATAATAGAAGGGAACCTAAAAAATATGTGTATAACTTATAGGAAATTTAAACGATTGCACACATGTGAAGAAGAAGTTAGAATTTGGTCTACTTACTGAGATTTCCCCACATATGACAATTTAAGTCATAAAAATAAAGAGTTCAGTTTTAAAATAGTTGTTTTTTATAGTCCCTTGCATTCTGGTAACTCCTTCTCTGAGACTGATATCAAGGTATTACTAGCAAGTTGCTTTGCTTTTTCAAAGTCTAATTTCTTTTTGATGTTTCTTTCATTTTGGTTTTAAAGCATGTGTCGGATTGACTATAAAGCAACAATAATATATCAATCTATATTACTATTAAATATAAAACAAGCTGCTGCATGCCTGTAAGAAATGTTCTATGAGTAGTTAAGCGACGTTTTATTTAGGTATTAAATTCGTCGGCCATAAAAATTCTATAATAATGTTGCTTTGAGAACTGCATAGATGATCATTCAAGTGCTGTAATCCACACAGATCAAGAAATTATCACACATAGCAAGCACTGAGCGTTGACGCCTAATAGAACGCTGATTATTATTAGAAAGGTTATACTGTATAATTGTGTTGCAATGTCAATATGATTATATGCATAAGAATGTAAATAATGTATAATCAATAGTGCACGGCCACAAACATCAAACTGTATTCGCTGTATGTTTAAATATAGATAAGAATTAAAGATTAACATAATATTATGTACCTTTCCGTTTCGTTCCTCCTGGCGTGCGAATAGACCCTTAGCTTTCGAGAAATACGTCACAACAATATCGTTATAAATTTCGAACCAATTTCATTAAATGGATTTAAAGTTTTACTATAACTAGCCACGTGAGAAGATGCAAAACATCCTTCTTCAAAACATGCATTTTTTTTCATTTTGACCAAGAAATGCGAAAATAAGTCGTTAACACTAAACGAGGTTACCAGGGAACGTCAGGCAGCCTCGTTCTTGTGTTAAGAAAAGTCTAAAAATCGGAATGAAGATATCTTTAGTTTCACCGCTGCTAAGCGAATTTTATCCTTTCTTAAAAATTCTAACGTATACTCAAACCATGCAATTATTTGCGCCTACAAGCTGATATACGCTTGAGTTATGCCGGACCCCCATTCATAGTTACAAAAATACCTTCGGCAAATTTATGGCCATCAACGTCAGAAAATGCCACACAAAAAGTATCAACGATAGACAATTCAATTTGGTAAGGGAATATAATTGTCTAGAAAATAACGATTAAAACATATTGGATAAATGATATTATCAATAAAGGAAAACTGGTTCATTTACAAATACGCCATACATATATGCTGATTTATTTATCGTAGCCAAACATTCGTTGTTCCAGCCCTCATTGTGAAAACAGAGAACAGTTATAGGCAGGTTTTATCTGGCTGTAAGCTTAGTATTGTCTAAAAATCTTGGCCCAACTCGATAAATCGGATTCCTCCGGTCATGCATGATAAGCAATATATATGTGGAAAAGGGTTATGATAATCGATAATTATGAAGTATTATGTATATATACTGAACAAATTCCGACGTATATAGTTAATGTTAATGTAGTGATCATACCTTTAGGCACGTGCTAAAACGCCTTGACTTCTCCATAGATGCATGTCAATACCCAGCAAATATTTGGATAGTGCATGCTTCGCGAAACTATTGGTAAAGATCTTCACCCGAGCGCTCCTGAACTTTATTGGCTCCATTTCATATTTTGTTCATTTCGCCGCGCTAGCTGCGAATCAAAATTAGTGAATATTTACCTGTTGTCCAAGCAGCTGCCAAATATAAATTCTAATATAACAATTAATAGAGTTGATTTTCGCGGGCATAAATGTGTTTTTTCTCCAACTGTGAACGCATTTAGATCAGCGAGCAAAAATACATTTCAGCCCGGCAAATTTATCATTTTAGTCCGCAAAATACAACACAATGACGGCAGACATCCCAGTATCACGCATCATGAATAGCCTCATTTAAAAATGCTTTATTTAGTTTACCTTTTAGAAATTATAGTAATATAATTCCAATTTTCAGCTATATTATATATACAGAACAAGCCGGATATTGCAATATTACAACAACCGCGTTGTACTATATCAGCCAATCGCAGAATCGCGATCGAATTACGGATTAGAGTTTGACGCATTTTACTGGGCGAGGCTGCTATTACTTGCAAAATTCCAAATCACTTTGTGCGGTAATATGCATAAAAGCGCGCAAATTATTTATATTATTACATTAAAGCAACTGCGTTCTAAATGCAAAGTACTGTAGTCACTAGTGTATGGATAATATAATTTTAAAGACTTCTATTGCCGACGCACACGATACGGTGTATGGTTTGATTCTCCCTCAAATCTGTGTCTTTCAAGATATTACGAAAGAATCTAAATTCAGAAATTACTTCATGCCACTAATTTAGAATTTTCAGGCAGTGCATAAAAGCGCTTAAATTATTAGATTGAATTAGTTTAGATTGCTCACAGTCACCATCTTCCGAAATTACATAACCATCTAATTCCCTTAAAAGAATTTTCAAATGCGTGCTAAGATCAATGTGTCCACCTTAGCCCTTGCTAGGTCTTCCGTCATCCTAATATATGAAATATCAGACACCGACTTCACATATCACAACACAATGCAATCAGACAAGACCCACCGCGTTACACACACATGACATGCAATAGACTGACAAGAAAAAATATGATATACATTATACATCATAAAAGAAACGAACGTTCCACAACTACCGTTTATACCCCCTTTTCAATAAGACGCAACACCAAAAAGTTTACAACGGGAAAGAGTTGACCTCCACCATGCAACATAATTATTATTATTATGCTCTCACCGCTCACGAAAGACACTCAGACGTATGTTCACTGTTGCCAAGTTTAACGCACTATTGGTATCTTCACTTTTTCTCCCGCGTGTTCGTAATGACCTTTTGACTTGTCCCATATTGGGCTACATATAAAAAGCGTTGCTCTTTGCTTTTTAGATAATAATTTATTTAAATCACGAGTCACAAGCCAAAATAATTTTCTGGTGTTCGCTTAGCTAATTTCCCAAACGTGCCTCCCACGTGCAATAGTTCCACCTGATCCGTCCCGATAACATGACTTTATTGACGAAATTAATTTAAAAAATTAAGATCTATTGTTTTCTTCAATGTGTATTATTGAGTCCACATCTGATTGACTTGTAAAATGTTTTTTGTAGGTAATGTTTCTCCGGTCATGCAGGATTACCAATTACCTGGGTACATTCTTTAAGGCCCAAATGATTTTTTAATAGATTCTCTATCACTTTTACTTGCCGTAGCAGTCATGGCAACAACTGGTATACTTGGAAACGACAAATTGCCATAGTCAACCCTGAAATCTTGACCCCTTAAATTACAGATGTAGTTTTAGTAAGCACAACATGCACTATGTACTGGTTGATTGATTTGTTCATCACATATCATATTTGCTTATATGAGGATTATTCTCGTTAATAGTTTTCACAATGGCGCAGACGTTTTCCTGGTAAAGTTTGCTCTGCATCAACTTCCTTCCATGAAGCAAGATACCAACGCTTCGGGGTGTGCGAACACAATATTATAGTGTCCGATTTCAAGTTTGGCTTTGTCGCTGAGATAAGTTCAGATTCTATATCGTCTTCCTCCACATCCACTGATGAACTGCTTATATCGAGAGCAGACGACCGAATTCCACTCAAGTCTAGCCGCAAAATCTGGTTTTCTATCAGTGCGTTTAAAGGTGATACAACAACAATAATTGATGTTTTGTTTGCTGTGCTTTTTGGGACACCTTTTTTCTTCGCATATACAGCTAGGCAGGAACCAAACAAAAAATCAACGATTCACCGTATCCTGTCGGTAGAACAGCAAGAATATCGAAATTTAAAAAGATCCTTTCTGGGCAAAGTACTTCTTTAGGTTTTAAAAAAACCTCGCTGTAAAAGCTATTTAACAGTGCTCCACAGCTATTTAAGCTATTTAACTCCAAGCACGACAGAAAATTCCACACAGGTTCTATTACGCTTCTTTCGTGTGTCTTGGTCAATGTAACAGAAGGCTCTGGCCTTTTCACAGAAATAACCGGTGCCTTAATGTATAGTTCTTTTTCCGATCTTAGCCTTTTAAATATTTAATGGTTTCAATATGCCTGGCAGGCATCTCTCGCACACTTTTGTCTCGCATCCCCGATACAGCTAACCAGGGTTGGTAGACAGCTGCATATTTGAGGCCAAACAAGATCACACTAGTTCTTTGTTTCCTTTGTCTTTGCCTTTTGTTTTCTTTATAGCACTAATGACAATTTGGCCTCAAATATTTGCATATATACCAACTCTGCAGCTAACCGGGCCTAACCCAAGCCAAATATGCATTTTTTTTCATACAAGAGATGCCTGAGGAGGAGGCTAATTACTTTCTCTGGTTTCCAACGAACCAAATTTGGCTAACATACACGCAGATATATAGCTTTTATCGAGGTAGAAATTGAGCTCGGTATAGGCTGTTTTGGCGTAGAATGAATCGGATTTTGAAAACATAAATTAAATTTTGCGGCGTCATATTGACACTAAAAAAGGTGTCATATTAGCACGATCTTTGGTGCTAGTTTGACGCCTATTTTTGGTGTTTTAATCTAACACCTGAAGTTTGTGTGGTTTAGTTTTTGCACTTTTAGCGCTGGCAAAGGAGCGACAAAATAGCATAGCTATAATATCATACGAAGTAGACAAAATGCGATTAAAAAATATTTATTTCTACATATGCTGTGACAGGAAAATCTACGTACAAGAATGTATAAAAAGTCTAGGGTACTTAACGTCCTTCAAAAGTTTTTGTCCTAAGGCTTCCCGACGAGAGCAGTTTTCATTTGCCACACCAGCAATGTACTCCATATTTAGTAGATAAAATAAGGCTGAGTGTGTTCTTCGATAAATTAACATTTGCCCCTCCACTGCAATCATCAAAGTTTGAACATCTGAAAGGTCTTCTCAACCAATTATCCTGATCTATGAAATCAACAACCTATAATAAGAAACCAATGTTTTTAAAAATGACTTTAAAAGTGTTTAAAAAACAAATCAGCTTGCAGAATTTTGTCACCCTTACAGAACAAATCTTAAAGAAGAGAGACTGAGATTCTCCTGCATTCTCCTTCAATAGTTCCTTCAAAACCTAAGCAACTGTGCTCTTGATGGGTGTTAAGAAAACTTGTTTATCAATATAGATAGATTATTAATTGCATGATTTACCTGATTTCCCAGCAATTGCTCTCTCCACTCTGTTTATTAGAACCAATGTAGTTTTCTTGTTACATTTTTTGGCATAGTCCAAAACATTTTTCTCAATCAATGGATTGAAATTTGCCAGCTATATAATGGATTAACTTGTGGTTTACTCTTTGAAATTCAGCTTTTACCTGAAAAAGAATTAATAGAGTTTGCTAGATACATTGTGAAATAAAATTATTCTACTGGTAATTTAGAACCCATACTCTGTCAATTAACTAAAATATCAATGAGAATTTTACACAAAATATGGCAGGCTAACTAAAAAATAGCTAAGTAGCACACATGGGTATTTTGTCGAACAAAGAAATTTGGCAGTCAATTATCTGTTTGGATAGTTTTTCAACAAGAATTATGGCAAAGTGTTGAAATAGAGCACTTGACATCAATCCAACAGGTACCTTATATCAATATGAATGCTGTAAACTAAAAGCAAACTTACATCTGTAATAAGCTGAAGTGCAGGATATTTTTCTTAAATTGTTTCTACCCTTGGCCTTGTTTTGGTCCATGAACCCTGTATCAGAAAAAATTGAATTATCGACATGTTTAAGAAGTCAGATCCATTTAATAAAGGGTATCATAGAAGTGGTAAACATAGATAATCATAAAGATACTTACTGTTCCACCACGTATATCCCAGACTGCTAATTGAATCTCTACTTGTCGGGGAACACTGTTAAAAATTTGCCAGGGAGTTGCTATCCGCGGTAACGCCATAATATCAATAAAATTTTCAAACAAAGGTGCGCACTGCTTCCCAATACTCCACCAACCTCTGAAGCCACGAACCTTAAAAGCACATGAAATAGAAACAGTGGCGGATCTAAGGGTAGTCAGAGTAAGTTACACAATAAAATTTAAATTCCAAACACCATAAGAACAGCGCTATTTGTTATGAATTTCAAAAGAAGTAAAAAAATCTACCAATAATTTAATGCGATTGCGATTTTAAGCCGTATTGATTTATTCCGACTACTCGTAGATCTGCCACTAAATGTAAATACTGAATCATGCGGCATACTCAGCAAGAAGAGAGTTTCAGAAATTACATAGCAACAAATAAAAAACGTTTTTTAAGAACATAAATTTACTGGTAAAAGAGTTTTTTTTAGATGGATCGAGTTATAAACAACAAAGATTACATCATGCTCTTTTTAAGTGCGGAATGAAAAAAAGCCCTTCTGAAAGGCTTAGATTTCACACGTGTCCTACTACCCCGTTTACATGGTCGATCATCCTTATTCACAAGATTGACATTCTTTGCCCATACATCCTACATAATATCCGATGTTTCCTCGACATCTAAAGTGGCGGTACCTTTTCGTAGTTATACAGGGAAAAAAAATTTCCCATTGCCCGCGATGCTTCGTGTTAACTAAAATGAGAACTCATAATAATTAGGTTGTTTAATTGAAACCAATTTATAACATCAGGAGACTTTTGAGCGATTTCTATCCAAGATCTCGTCAACAAGTTTTTAAAATCATTAATTTACAAATAGTTGATCAACTGACGTGTAAATTACTGAGAAATGTTATTCGGTATGTAGAAATACCCGTGTAATGTGAAGGAATCTTGGCGGCTATGCATGCATATATGAAATTTGGCTGCCCCTTTGAACCGCAGCTCTATTCACTAGTGTACAATGAATTGACACTGTCGGAAATGTTAACGACGTGTGACCCGCAAAGACTTGTGTGTACATAATATACACAACACATTATGGCGCACAGAGATCCCCAGCTATTGCTTATTATACCATATAATTACTGGCACTAAATTGGTCTGTAATAAGCGATGGTTGCCCGGCACTGATGATATAAGTAAAACCACCTTAATCATCACTTTCAATGGTAATCATTAGTCAAAGAAAAAGATAGTATGCCATAAGAAACATATACTGTCAGATATATATGCATGTTTTTGTTATGTACATACTCAATGATTACTTATATTTTCACACATGCAAATCGTTAATAGACAAGGTCGCCATCGGAAAGGACGATACTGATCCATATTGTTAATTTACAGCTGAGACACGTACTCCTATCCGAAACAGCGATGAAAGTAGAATGTTAGCGAATATTGGCGGTTATGCCTATGAAATTTGGCTGCCTCTTTGATTCACAACTGTATATTTGCTAGTGTACAATGAATTGACATTGTCGGAAATGTTAACGACGTGTACTGACCCGCAAAGACTTGTGTGTCTGCACACGAGCGTATTGAAAGATATACTGAGCTACCGCAGTCAAGTTAAATTTGTAGATAGAATCGGCCCTAACACTGTAATCATTATATATGAACGATAAAAGTAAAAAGAAAACAAATTTGTGTTTGAACTTTTCTTGTCATGTTCAGGAAGTAAACTTTTGTTTTTGAATTAAAGTATTTTTTTAACTCATCGTCTGAGAGAAACTCCTTTATCATCTAATACTGTGCTACGTAGTTTATGATCAGTAATAACATAATATAGCCTACGTACCACATGATGGGGCAAAGAGATCCTCAGCTATTGCTTATTATACTATATAATCAGCATCATCACGCATAGCGCTGCGGTAAATATGAACATGAAAATATGAACATGAATTATAGGAATAGTTAACGTTCGTCTATTTAGACGGATTTGTATGGTAGCTCGTCTCGACGTCATCCGGCTCTTTTGTATAAATACGGGGTGGGGACGAAAAATCATCAAAAAATCATCATAAACCACATAAATGATGCCCCAATCCTCATGCACTTTCTAAAAGCGCTATAATCATGTTTCGTTTCACATATTCGTCTACATAGTTCGTCTAGATGGTTTGTTTAGAACAAACCACACACTCACTTATATAATATAAGCGAAGTCTGGCTTTAACTACATAATTATTCGGCTTCGCAAACGATTTAATTGTTAGTCTCTGTTTATTCTTGGACCAGGAACTGGTCCCTAACCGCTGCTAATCTTCTTCTTCTTCTTGTTGTTGTTAGGGGGCGACGCTCTTTAAAAAAACCCTAAAGCTCGAGCATTACTTGTTTGATCGGAATGAAACTTGGCACAATCACTCTAAGCAATATTCGGCATCGATTGACGGAGTTCGAATTCTTATTTTTGACTTTGAAGCAAGTTACAAGCATTTCTTGATAAATATGCAGCAAATAATATATACATATCATTAATATTCAGCCTATATATAAGTAAACGCAAAAGATTAGAAATACTAAGCCTTGTCCTCTCCATTGTTATAAATACAATGCAGTTCAGAAATTAAACCCTGGTCCCTATACAGGGTGTCCCAAAAAAATGTCCCCTGTATTGAAATCAAGCCTTGGTTCGAATCTGATTGCCTTAATATTATGATAAACCCAATTGAAAGCAAGACGCTTTATTTGAATGCCTCAACCTAATAAATATGCTATTTACACACTACTGCGTTGATCATGCATTCAAATTCCAACAAAAGCTTCATTTCAATAGCGGGGACTTTTTTTTGGGACACCCTGTAGTACGATCGTACTTGTTAGATAAATTATTTCTGTTGACAGCTTTACCAAAAATCCAGCAATTTTAAAATCAGAATTATTATTTATGGCCAATTGCAACTCGAAATCGCCACGAACTCACCAATTCTGAATCACTGCCTGTCATTCTTTCTTCCAACTCGCGAGTAATTAAAATATCATCCTTACTGGTGTTTCGTTTATAAAAAGAGTTATGGTGGTTAGAGAAATTAAATATTGTATGGTAAAGACACCTTGATCGATAATCGATATGCTCGTGCATGTAAAATATGCAGAACAAGACATAACTGCGATCCAGCCGGTTTTTTTTTCGGCTTGAAAAAATGTTCGTTTTAAAATCTGAAAGGATGATGTAATCAATAAAGGAAGTTGACATCTAAAGTGTGATATTTACAATCAGCGCAGTAACGAAAAATTCGGAAATAATTAGCATTCCAATTCCGCCGAAAATTTCAAATGGTATCAAAGCAGAAACGACATACATACTTATACCGGCAAAATATAACCCTGCGAACTTCAATTTTCCTGAAGCTACAAAGAAAGGTTGCAAGAAAGATTGCAAAGAAGCAACATGTATGATTTGACAGATATCGCTGGTCAAGTTCGGCGGGAAAATTCCCGTGTTTCTATACAATTACAGCACTGTCCAGAAATAACACTGCGGTTGCATGCGATTCGGTTCCGTTGTATTATAATAGTACAAGCAACATAGTTAGCTAGATATAATATTTTGTATACGACAATCATTATACCTAAATATGGTTGTAGTATTTTTTAACATGGCCAACGAACTGTTGCTCAAACAGAATAACATGCACTAACAAAAAAATGGTTTTCATGTTGTAAAAGTTTGTTCTCATGTACATACAGTAGCTGTTCTATTCAAGACTATAGTTTTAGTCAACCTTTTTGATAGAAATTACGCTTTTTCATTCTACATTGAACATGTTTTCATGCCATGGATGCATCCAAAAGCTTGATGTATTCTGTACTTTGTCAAAAACTCCGATGCTTTTTCAATGCCATATAGCAAATGAACGTCAAAGCATTTCGTCAAGCTCAAAATCATCCGGATAAGACTAAATAAAGCTAGCAGCGTGTGGCAATGTGCAAAGTACATGTCCGTCTTTGATATTTACGAGTAATGGCATTATAAAATGAATACAAGACGCCTGTTCTGGCGTTAACTCCGGCGCACGTGCCAGTCTTTAATATAGAGCTTCTGAACATAAACAATACATGCAGTTCATATTCGCATTTAGATGCCTTGCGAACCTAAATATTCGATCGCGAAATTCAGAAGCACATCGTACTTTGAAAAGTATAGAAGTTCAATTGTTCAAAAATGTAAATAAACCGCATGATATGTACATTCGCTTTGTCTTACACTTTGCCTTTGGAATTCGCGCTTATATAGTTATATCAAATCTTCAATCCTCATTCCTGTGCAAACTACGACGAGTCAACGCCTCCATACGTACAAACAATACAAGATGATGTATCTGGTTAAACGGCGAAATAGCATATCATATGAAGCCGGATATATAAAAAGATGGTTAAATTTTAGTGCCTCTTACCGGCTGAGACATTCTTGATGTTGGTAGAATGCATGTCTATCAAGTGTTTTTTGCGATAAAATTTAAGCTTTTAGGATATCCGTTTCGTACAGATATTGTTGTCAAATTGCACATCGCTATAAACTTGTGCCGTTTAACAGAATTTGTTTTCAATCCGATCACCAGTCGTAATTCGTAAAACAGTTCACCTGGTTGAATTTAAGATTAATTCCATTATAATTGGCATGGGCACTCCATGCAACGCGTAGCGGAGATTTCTCAATTCTAAAACAGTTTACGAGCATCAAACAAGATTTGGGTGTTGCAAAACAAAAGATTAAGGAACTCAACCTTGCATGCACTGCATTGACACAGGAGGAGGCATGCATCTATGATCTAGGCTAGCAATACATTCAAATCGAGGAATATCAATCCCACTTTTATCGCACCCCCCCGAAAAATATTCGCTTGAATTAAATTGCATAACCCTTCATCTTCACAGTCGTCGTTGAAACTGTGCACGTTTAATGGGTCAAACGCGAAAAAATTCGATATTTTCTCCACAACATTTGCTCGATTTTGCCTAAACTTGCCCAGCTATGTTGATATTAATCATTATCAAATGTATCAAATTGCATTCTACAGACTACACACTTCATGGATTATCAGGTCACAATTACAAAACACTTTTATTCTTTAATAAACCACAAAATTTCACTCAAGTTTGTTGCAAAATTCTTTCACTCCTTTCCATTCTGCCCTATACACCGTACAATTTGTCATTTTTTTTCTAAAATTAGCATGTGCTAGCTGGCGTGCGCAGTTCAACTGTTGTCTCCATTTATGGCGGGCATCTCCCCCACTTTTTTCTTCGC